AAATGGAATGTTAATGTTTCTTTCATTTGCCTCTTTCTGGTGAATTTTGAGGAGAGGTATCCTTTCACATCTGTCTTGCCAGTTGGAGTTCTTCTTGAATTAGCTTTTTGGTTTATACACAGGGCATGCAAAATTTACTCTTTCAAAGACTATGAATAATAAAATATATTTTTCTGTTCCATATTATTGTAAGTGGTGAAAGGAAAAGGTGGAAAAGAAGGCATGAAATCAAGGGGAAATATATACATATATATAAAATATGAAAATGGAGAAAGAAGGAGAGGAGTGATTTTAAGATACAGAGCAGGATGGGGGAGTGGAAGGGAAATTCAGTCAATGTCTAATTGAACGCTACATGAATGTTGGCTAGTTATGAAGTGAGACACAGTCAGTGCTCAAGAACTTAGACTTTGAAGTTAGACTGGCTGGGTTCAGATCTAGCATTTCCTAGCTGAATACCTACAGTGCATTACTTCTCATGACCTTAGTTCCTTCATCTGTAAAATTGACATAATAATAGTATCTCCCTATTAAATGGACTAATATACATACATTAGTGTACAGAGTAAGTGCTCAGGTTGTGTTAGCAATTTTAACAACATTCTAAGCAATTGCACAGCCATAATAATAGAATCATAGCTCTTTAGAACTGAAAGGAACTCTCAAACAAATGAGTAGCCAAGCCTGGGCTCTACCACTTAGTATGCACATCAGCACTGCCAGGATGGTAACCACAAACCAGCTGTACCTATTGAGTATTCGAAGTGTGCCCAGTTTCAATGGAGATATGCTGAAAATATAAAGTACACATTGGACTTAAAACTTCAGCATAAATAAAAAGAATGTAAATGATCTCATTAATAATTTTTAAAACATTTACATGATAATTTGAGTATATTGAATTAAAGAAAACATATTACTAAAACTAATTTTACTTATTTTTTTGTACCATTTTTAAGGTGGCTACTAGGAAACTTAAAATTATGCATTTGGCTCAAATTGTATTTCCACTGAGCAGCACTGATGTTGGGGCTCTGAGTCTGAAGTGATCGGGTCCCCAAAGCCAGTATCACATGTGATACATATAGCATCCCTTCCTACAAATATACCAAGAGAAGGAGTGACTGAAGTGATGAAAGGAACAGCATGCAGATGCCAGGTGCAAATTCAGCTGTAGACGCAAAGTGGTGTTCTCCGTCTCAGATGACTGATTTGACTTGATGACATGGACTTACTTGAAAATGAACAGGGCAGTCAGAAGGGGTACCTGGAAGCAGCCATCCTTACCATTAGGAGTGAGACTTGACTCTAGCCCTCCAGGACTGTGTGATGTCTGGGTGACGGTTGTGACGTGAGTACCAAAGAAACAGCCTAGGAACAAATAACAAATATGCTTTTGACTCACTAGAGAGAATTTAAAGTTTGTCTTCTGATATGCACTTATAAAGATATTGTGGTAAAATATGCATACTAATAACAAAGAGTGGGTAATTTTAAAAGGACTGAACTGCTTCCAGAATGTTGGGAAAGGAAATACTAGGATCTGAAGGGTGAAATGCTTTTTGTGTCTAAACCAGAAAGGTAGGCTTTGTAACGATCATTTGGTGCTCTCTGGAACTAAGACTTAGGAGAAGAAATCTAAAATTTATTTGTGGCATTGGCAATTTTGTTTTAAAATTCAGTTTTTTCTGTTCTTGATTACATCTGGGTTTCCTCTTCTCCAGCATTCTCTAGCACTTAAGTCTCTCAATCTTAAAAAGATATTTCTTTGTGCAAACTCTGAGTGATGGTTCTTTGTGTTTGTAAATCTGTATCTTTGACTCCCCCTTCCTTTCCTATACTTCTCACTTTCTAGAAAATCTGAGTTGAAGATTTGGAGATGAATGAGACATAAGAGGGGATTTGAAAATGAGAACTACTATTATTTTTTTAGTGCTTTGCAGTTTACAAAAGCATCTTCAAATTCAAATGATTCTTCCAACCACCGGGTGAAGTGAGCAGAAAAGTATTTATTCTGTTGTCATTTTAGCCTCACTTTAGAACTTAGTGGTCACTGGGTCAGTAAGTGCTGAAACAGAACTCAGATCTGTCTCTTTTGATCGTGAACCTCACTGGCCTTCCAGGACCTCGTTCATTTCACTCCAGAGCATTTAGCCCAGGACTTCCTGCTTCTGGGGAGGGTGATACCCACTGCCTTTGATTCTTAGCATGTCCAAACTGATTTTCTTTAGTCTTGATTGATGTAAGGGGCTTGAAGCTTCTCTAGTAAATTGCCTGGATGGAGCTAATAGAATTAGGATTCCAATAATTTTAAGCTTGAAAAAACTAAGCAACAATTTGTCACTGGTTCTCTACCTTGACAGCATATTACATTAACCTTGGGTCCTGGGAAGCCTATAAAAAATACTTGTGCCTGGTTGCATCTCAAACCAAGAAAATCAGAATGGGGCAAAAGAGATATTCTGTCTCTCTTTGTTTTAGGGGTTATTATGTTCTGTTTTCTGTTTTTTTTGTTACAAGGAAAAAAGCATTGTATTGTAAACTCGAATTATAAAATGATATGTATGAGTCTGTGCTGATATAAATCTTGGTTGTATCTTGGATGAATTGGTGAAATACTTGGATATAAGTATTCTTTTATATAGGAATACTCATCTATTAGTACAGAATAACTCCAAGTAATTCTCCCATACAGAAGAATTCCAAATAACTCATATATATAAACACCCTCAAGGAGTAGAGCAGAACTTCCTCCTTTTGAAGTAAGGGCTTCACATAGTAAATTCCTTTCAAACAATACAGTACAGAAAGTTGGGGGAGTAACTTTACAGTGAAAAAATCTGACAAACACTGTTTCAGCCAGATGATCAAGGTAAACATCAACAGTGACCATTATGTTAACAGTATCACACACTTGATATGCCGTAATGAATATGGCACTTTGTGATATTCCCCCAAGAATACAGAACCTCAGTATCTTAGTCTGTTTAGGTTGTTACGATGTAATACCATAGACTGGGTAGCTTTTAAGCAACAGAAATTTATTTCTGCTAGTTCTGGTGACTGGAAAATCCAGGATCATGGCACTGGCAGATTTAGTGTGTGGAGAGAACCCACTTTCTGGTTTACAAATGGCCATTTTTCCACAGTGTCCCTGCATGGCAGAGTAGGTGAGGTATGTCTCTGGGGTGTCTTTTACAAGGGTGCTGATCCTGTTCTTGCCTCGTGACCTCCTCTCCCAAAGGCCCCACTTCCAAGACCATCACACTGGGGAGAAAGTTTCATCACATGAATTTGGTGAGAGTGGGGAGGCACAAATGTTTAGTCTACTGTAAGTCTAATCATGAAAGAAACATCAAGCAAATCCCACTTGAGAGACATTGTATAAAATAGCTAACCAGTATTCCTAACCAGTATTCCTCAACACTGTCAAGATAATGAAAAACAAGGAAGGACTGAGAAACTGTCACAGCCAAAATAGAAAAGGGATTTTTGGTAAAAACTAAGGAAATCTAAATAAAATACAGATGTGTAATAATTATGTATCAGGTCATTCATTGTGACAAATATACCATAATAATGTAAGATAACATGGGACACTGAGTGTGGGTATGGGATAAAATTAATATTGTTGATGGTATGTGTTCTTCAGTTAAAGAAAAAATTTGTTATTTCCATTTAGCTGGTATGTTAAACTTAATCTCTAGCTCACTTTTACCCATGAAAGTCTCCTTCTGCCCTTTTTTTTTAAAACAAGGTTTCTACTTTTTATCTGTCAGCTGCTGCTGGTGCCAGAGAGATCAGTCAGCCCCTGCTCCTATCTTCCTCACTTTCTCAGCCCTTGTCTTGCAGGCACCCCCTCTGTCCTTCCCCTCCTCTGCCTTACTTTCCCGTTTCTTTGATTCATCCCTCTACTCTTCTTCCTTGCAAGCTTCTATCCTTGTCCTAAGGCAGACATAGCTCCTCTTACTGCATCTACAAACATACCACACATATTTATTTTCACCTCCTCTTTTGTAGCCCTTCTATAAAACTTTCCATCTCTGACTAGAAGACTGATGAAAACCCTAAATCCCCCAAAAAGGAAGTTCCTTTTGGCTCTTTTTGCGGCCCCGGTGCAGACTTGGTGGGCTTGTATGTCTGGAGAATTGCTGAGGGTGTCATGGAAGGAGAACATACTGTCCTTCCTTTGAACCCATCCATGCTGGTGCTGCGGTTCCCAGAGAGTTGAGCATGAGGCACATCCCTGGGTGTGAGCTGGTCCTGGCTTGTGTGTTAATCTGTCTGCCTGCCCCATAGTGTGAGGGAGCTGTGTGCAACCTACATAGGCTTCATGTGTCTGTCTGAAAGTTCCATGGAAGGTAGCTTCTTTCTACTGAAATATCTGGCTAATCCCAGAGAAAGAATTGGGATTCTTGGATAAAATAGATTTCTGTTAATCCCCTCAGCCCAGATCAAATCTCATCAGAGCTCAGCTTTACAAGATTTGTTTGAATCTAATGAGCTTATACCCTTGGTTGGAAGGCTGCTCATCCCTGACAGTTGGCAAATAAGGGTGTTGTGTGCTCTGTGAGATAAGTATATTTAATGACTCAGTGTATGTGATTGTAAGTTTTATATTTAGGAATATATACTATATTCAGGAACACACACACATGCACACCTGAAGAGCTGTTCATTCTTCAGAACCTTCATCTGCATAGTCCTGAAGAGTCTCAGCCTTCTTACAAGTATATCTCCTATCCAATGAGACACTGCATTTCTTATCTAGTCTTTACCCAATTCTTGTGACATTCTCAGCTCCTGAACTTGCTCAGTCTGCTCTGCCAGGTATCTCCTCATGTCTATTGGCTAGAAAGCACATGACTAATACAAAGAAAAAGCAAAACAAAATGTGGTTGTACCAGGCAAATGATTGTGCAAGATATAGTGTTTGACTTAAACATCAGCAGAACTTCCCCTGACTGCATCTGCCTCTAACCTGTGCTCTTTGGTTCCAGGAGCTCGTGTAAACGCCAAGGACAACATGTGGCTAACCCCACTGCATCGGGCTGTTGCCTCCAGAAGTGAAGTGAGTTGATTATCTCATTTAATCTAGCACCTCCAGTTCCCAGCAAGAAAAATGCTTTCTGCTGAATTAGGGATTCTCACTGGTGAGCAAAAGGCTTTTATTTCTAATGCAGGAGGGTGACCAAAATTCAACAACAGTTCATTTGAGCAACTCCTGCATGTCAGGCATCATGCTAGGGGGTGGCTAGAGCAGTCCAAGGTGGACAGCATGATCCTTGATTTACGCTCAGTCTGAAGGGGGAGGCAACGAGGTAAGTAGATCAGTACCATATCATAATTGAATTGGAAGAGGAAACAGATAACTGCCTGGTTGGATAGAGAAAGTCTTCAAAGAGATGTCAATTGATCCTTCGAGGAGGGGTAGGGGCTTACCGAGCCAGGGGAAGGAGGGAGGGCTGAGGCAGAAGGATGCACATGCCAGAGGAGGAGGCACAGAAGTGAGTCGATGGTGGCTCAGTTGGATATAGCTGGAGCACAGTGTGTAGTGGAAGATAAGTCTGAGTAGAATCTGGGTCAAACAGCAGAGAGCTGGATGTCCTCTGAGCAGTGGGGAATGGTCACAGCAGAGATGAGTGTGAATCTGGTGGGATTTGGAACCTGGTGAGAGGGTGAGATGGGAAAGAAGCCACTGAGTGAATAGTGAGGCCATTAACTGAGAAAGCTAATCAGTTCCATTTGAACATGCCCAGGTTGGCAGATATGTCACTGAAAGGAAAGCCCCATGGGGGCAGGGTGTGTGTTTTGTTCCCTGATGTGTCCCAAGCCTGGTACACTGCAGATGCCCAAGACAGAGTTTATTTTGAATGCTGGAAATTCTGGTGAAGATGGCTAATAGAGCATCATTATTTATACAGGTCTAGAGTTTAAGAACAGAGAGGATGGTCATTGAGCCAAATAGATCAGATAGTTTAGGCAAATGGATCAGCTGGTTCAGAGAAAGTATAAGGATAAAAACACCAGTGCAGGGGAGACAGGACGGGACTGGGAGTTCTGGTGAGTACAAGCCGTGAAGCCTGGTCAGAGGGGTTCCCATCATCCAGGGATGCAAGAGGCTGTAACCTAGGAGGCACTTGGTAGTTGATTTTACCAATTGAAGCTTCTCCTCTGCCACTGGAGAAGGTGCTGTTTGTTAGGGGTGAGAGGTGTTTCTGAGAATGCGTACCCCCGTGGCACAGGTGTCAATGGCTGTCATCAGTGTCAGCTTTTCCTCTTTGGCAGCAATCTGGAAATTTCACAGTACATTTGCTCAATGACAGCTTAATGCTCAGAATATTCCTTGCTATGCTGTGTGGTTTGAGTAGTTTTTAGTACAAGCAGGTTGTATTCTTTTTCCAAAGAGCCCACGTGGAAGGAGTGAGGCAAATGATCCTAAGTTTTCTGGCTCAGAACACAGGGAATTCAGAATCTTCCTAGGGTTTCACATTTTATTTCTATTTTACCTGGGAAAGCACATGGGGTGGGCTGCTTGAGTTCTTGCGACTGGCGTCATGAGACCAGCTCCTTCACAAAGAAGTATTTCCTGGTCTTTCTAGACCATTTACTCTTTGGTAAATTTCTTTTAATTATCTTTTGGAAAATGGGGGTTTGTTTCCTCTTTTAATGGGAATCAGGTCTTTTTAATTCAAAAACGCATTTACTGAGCCCTCTCTTTCGGCCGCACACTGGGCTTGCTGATGGAGCTAAAAAGGAAAACAAGACACATGGTCCATGCCCTTAGGAAGCTTGTAGTCTAGTGGGACAAGAAGACACCACACCAAATGACTTCAGTACTGTGTGACCTTCCCAAAGTGAGTTCCACCTTGGTAGTTCAACTCGCTGCAAAGGTTCAATCCTCAGCGCATCCATTTTCCATCAACCATCAGCCTACCTTCTTTACATATCTTTAGTATAATTCATTCAACCCAATGATGGAACAACCTTTTTATCTGAGAAAGGCACATGTTTCTCTAAGGAACCAGCTCCCTCTACAGGTTTGCTGGGGGGAAAAAAATCCCTTGCAGGTAATCTCTTGCCAGGAAGGAATTAAATGCAAGCCGACCCTGAGTTTTAAATAATCAGGGTCACGTATAACCTTGTGAAAGAGGATGTCTTCATGTGAATACCTGCCACAGCAAAGTTGGAATTTTTCTTATGAACATTGTAGTCTCTGTAACCATTGTCAGAACTAACTGTGGGTGTCTTAACTCTGTGCCACTGTGCTATGCAAGTCCTAAATTCAGATTTCCTTCTTCTTTTGAATTCAATCAATTGCCATTAGTTTATGCCTCCCCTAAATAATAGATGGGGGAAGGGAAGTAGGCTTAACAGGGAAAGACCAGAAGGTTTGGCCCGGTATTTTGGAATCTGGCTGTTAGCACTTGCCAAAGGGGATGTGTGTGTTCAGCATGAGAGCGGGCATGTCTATCTGTTGCTTAGATTGGCAAACACTGACATAACTTACACAAATATGTAGTAAAAACCATTTCTTCATTGAAGGCTTATAAACTGTACTGTCCCTAAAACCCCTTTACTTCTGAAACATAGGTAACTGATCTGTCAGACTTCAAGGCTCAATCAGGGAAGCAGAGGCACCATGAGAGACATAGCATAAGATATTATAGGAATTTAGACCTTACACAATTGTGTGAGCTGCTGGAAAAGCTTATGTAAGGCTGTCACGTCAGTTTCTTTGTGGTCCTGAAGGCCCTGTAGGCCAGCAGCATCCAGAAGAGCTGGATGTGGAGTGGGGCAGAACAGGGACAGACTGGGACCCGGCTGTGAGTTGGAGGCCTCACTGCCTCATCATGGCATGCGGAGCTGCATGCGTCACCTGTGCTCACACATACCTGGCCCAAGAATGGTAGAAACTGAAGATGCAGTGGGGTCTAAAGAAGCATATCCATCCTGTATTGCCCTATGCCAACACTGTGATTCAGCTGGTCGGTGACATCGTGGGCAAGCTGCCACAGTACCTGGCACCCATGCAGTGGCCAGGCTGTGATTTCACTTACGCATTCCAAATCGCAGTCAGATTTCTCTCGGGGCCAACCCTAAATGGAACAATACAGGGGAGGGAATTCTGGGAAGTGTAGTTCAGTTTGGCTGACTTGGCACAATACAAAACTACCATTTGAAATTGTTATAATATTTTAATTGAAACAATCTTCTAGACAATAGGTTCCTTGAAATGAGTACCATGCCTAGTTGTCACTATTTTTTTTGCCAGCTAGCCTGCTCAGTAAGCGGTTGTGTTTTGACTCGTGTAAAGACTGAATTAAGTTATGTTAACATGCTCTGCACAACTACTAACATGGAACTAGTATACATCACAGAGAATGCTGGTGGTAGTCATCTTTCATGCATGCAAAGTAAAGCGACTTAAAGCTTGTTTATGGGAGTGTTTTAGAAGCCAAGTTAAGCCACTGGAACGTACAAAATCAGAACAAATTTCAAAATTGCATGTAACATAAATATCAAAGATTCCAGTACAAGTCACAGTTTCTTAGCCTTCTCTCCATCCAAGCAAATTTTGTTCAGATTCTATGCCTGGAAAAATCATGTTCACTGCTAAATTCATTTCCTGAGCCTATTATAGCAATGGGAATATCAGGTCATAATATCAATTAAACATCCACCCATTCCTGACATTATAAGAGCTCCTTCACAGACAAGAAAGTACATCAAGATATGGTCATATCCACTGAAAGTGATCCAACATAGGATGGGTTCTGGACATAAACCTTCAAGACTTGGTACTGACCAGTCTGTGTTGCATGTTCCCATCTAGGAGTTGTACCAGGCAAATGATTGTGCAAGATACAGTGTTTGACTTAAACATCAGCAGAACTTCCCCTGACTGCATCTGCCTCTAACCTGTGCTCTTTGGTTCCAGGAGCTCGTGTAAACGCCAAGGACAACATGTGGCTAACCCCACTGCATCGGGCTGTTGCCTCCAGAAGTGAAGTGAGTTGATTATCTCATTTAATCTAGCACCTCCAGTTCCCAGCAAGAAAAATGCTTTCTGCTGAATTAGGGATTCTCACTGGTGAGCAAAAGGCTTTTATTTCTAATGCAGGAGGGTGACCAAAATTCAACAACAGTTCATTTGAGCAACTCCTGCATGTCAGGCATCATGCTAGGGGGTGGCTAGAGCAGTCCAAGGTGGACAGCATGATCCTTGATTTACGCTCAGTCTGAAGGGGGAGGCAACGAGGTAAGTAGATCAGTACCATATCATAATTGAATTGGAAGAGGAAACAGATAACTGCCTGGTTGGATAGAGAAAGTCTTCAAAGAGATGTCAATTGATCCTTCGAGGAGGGGTAGGGGCTTACCGAGCCAGGGGAAGGAGGGAGGGCTGAGGCAGAAGGATGCACATGCCAGAGGAGGAGGCACAGAAGTGAGTCGATGGTGGCTCAGTTGGATATAGCTGGAGCACAGTGTGTAGTGGAAGATAAGTCTGAGTAGAATCTGGGTCAAACAGCAGAGAGCTGGATGTCCTCTGAGCAGTGGGGAATGGTCACAGCAGAGATGAGTGTGAATCTGGTGGGATTTGGAACCTGGTGAGAGGGTGAGATGGGAAAGAAGCCACTGAGTGAATAGTGAGGCCATTAACTGAGAAAGCTAATCAGTTCCATTTGAACATGCCCAGGTTGGCAGATATGTCACTGAAAGGAAAGCCCCATGGGGGCAGGGTGTGTGTTTTGTTCCCTGATGTGTCCCAAGCCTGGTACACTGCAGATGCCCAAGACAGAGTTTATTTTGAATGCTGGAAATTCTGGTGAAGATGGCTAATAGAGCATCATTATTTATACAGGTCTAGAGTTTAAGAACAGAGAGGATGGTCATTGAGCCAAATAGATCAGATAGTTTAGGCAAATGGATCAGCTGGTTCAGAGAAAGTATAAGGATAAAAACACCAGTGCAGGGGAGACAGGACGGGACTGGGAGTTCTGGTGAGTACAAGCCGTGAAGCCTGGTCAGAGGGGTTCCCATCATCCAGGGATGCAAGAGGCTGTAACC